TCATAGTCATTGGCTCATTAAACATGCAAATTGGGAATTATATCAAAACTTAACAGATTCTCTAAATTTACAGATTTCTGACCAGACTGTATATTGCAAATACAAAATCATCCTACAGACAATAACTCACGCTGCACAATGTTCTATCCCTAAGAGTAAATCAACGAATGGAAAAATCTCAGTCCCATGGTGGTCGAAGGAATGCAGCAAAGCTGTTAAAAATAGAAAAAAAGCTCTGAGAAAATTCAAAAACAACCCAAACTCAGTAAATTATGAAAAATATATCTCTAGTAGAACTCATGCACGGTATGTCATAAGAAATAGCAAAAGGAAATGTTGGCAGGACTTCATTGGTCAGATAAACACCCCAATCTAGGAAGTTTGGGACACCGTAAGACGGATCATGGGAAGAAAATGCGCGTCCACTCCCAACCTCTTAATCACTCGAGATAGAGTCACCACAGACCCGATAGCTCTTGCTAACTCCTTAGGTGAACACTTTAGACTTTCATTTTCAAATATATCTTATAACTCCTCAGGTACAAATAGCCCATATCACGAATATATCCTATCACAACACAAATCCCCATTAAATCTCCCGTTTTCTTTCTTCGAATCCAATGCTGCCCTCAAGTCATGCAAAGAATGTTCCCCAGGCCCTGACGATCTAACATACTCCATGATTAAAAATTTATCTTACATAAATAAAATTAGTGTACATAATTTTTTTAATGAAGCATTTAAATTAGGCTTTTTCCCAGACGACTGGTGTAGGGCTTATATCGTTCCTATTTTAAAAAAAGGGAAACCAAAAGAACTTTTATCTAGTTACAGACCGATCGCTTTGACTAGCTGTCTATGTAAACTCTTTGAAAAAATGGTTGCCTTTCGACTAAAATGGTATCTCGAAAGTAAATATCTGTTAAATATTTGGCAAAGTGGATTTCGTGCTGGGCGCAGTACTGTAGACAATATAATAAAATTAGAATCAGAAATATTAAAAGCGAGAAATTCCAAAAACCACCTACTAGCAATATTCTTAGACATCGAAAATGCTTTTAATTCCGTTAGAAGCAATGACATTATTAAAGCATTACTTAATATGGGAATAAACGGTGAAATCCTAAGATTCATAAAAAATTTTCTAAGTAATCGTAAATTTAAAGTGAAGTGCAATACAGCAATATCTACGGATTTTGAACAGCAAAACGGAGTACCACAAGACAGTATGCTTAGCCCCATATTATTTAATGTGGTCATAAATAAAATTGCAGAAGAAGTTAAATTACCAGCAAAAATTCTTCTTTACGCAGACGACTTAGTATTATACCTGAGTGGGAAAAATCTGCCCTACATACATAGCTCTATACAGAACACCGTTAACAGCGTTGTTGCGTGGTTCGCAAATAAGGGGCTCGTGGTATCCAAAACGAAGTCCCAGGTAATATTATTCACGAGACACAGAAATCCAAACGTAAATAATATTAAAATAAACGGAGAGCCAATTGAATATTCTCAAAGTGTTAAGTACCTGGGAATAACATTTGATAAAAATCTGACGTGGGCAACTTATATAAAAAAAATCAAAAGTGAATGCCTGCAGTCACTCAATTTGTTAAGAACGGTCAGTTGCCATTCGTGGGGAGCTGACAAAACAAGCATACTTATGTTATACAGGAGCCTCGTCTTAAGTAAACTTGATTATGGTAGTATAGTTTACGATTCAGCCAGTGAAAATACCAAAAAACTGTTAGTCCCAATCCAAAACACCGCTCTTAGATCAGCTTTAGGTGCTTTTCGCTCTAGTCCAACCTACACGTGGAAGCAGGAATTATGCCTTTGGATTTTAGAAGTAAGGCACTTTCTCTTTCCTATTTCATAAAAGTAATTTTTCGCCCCCAGCACCCTCTAAATCGTCTGTTTTCTGAAGATATAATCTCACTTCAAAATCACAAAACATACCGCCCATCGTTCCCAGAAAGATGTAAATCCTATCTCACTGACTTAAACCTAGCACTGCCATCCATACCAAAATTCGAAAATCCAAAAATAGAACCTTGATCACTCCCTATCCCCAAACTTAACAAAATAAAATCAAAAGGCAATTCGCCAATTATACCGTTAACAGATTTCAATCACTTCAAAAACGCCCATCAGGAATGGACATTTATTTATACCGACGGGTCTAAACGCAAAGAAGGAGTAGGCGCTGCTATGGTGACGGGGAATAATCATATAATGTTATCCCTTCCTCAGATTTGTAGTATCTACACCGCTGAGCTATCTGCTCTAAACCGCGCCGTAAAATTCATTGACGCTAAACTAGCCAGCAGCGTCGTGATTTGTTCAGATTCTGCCCTTATATCGATACAGGACCCTTTTTCTCAAAACTGGTTAGTTGTCGATACTCTAACTAAACTTAAAACATTGGAAATGGCTGGATGTATGGTAAAATTTTTATGGTTACCAAGTCATGTCGGGATCAAAGGCAATGAGATGGCAGATAGTATGGCCAAGAGAGCTATCAAAGAAGGTCAACCTATCATCACCACTCAACCTTCTGAAGTTGTCTCTTTAATCAAAGAAAAATCATGGTTGGCGTGGCAAATAACTTGGTCTGCCACTAGAGACAATAAGCTAAGGGTTGTGGAGCCATACGTCCGGAGAGTCACTCCAAATATCCTGCTGACCAGAAGGGAAGAAGTAGTACTGACCCGGCTAAGGATCGGACACACTAGGCTTACTCACGAGTACTTAATGAGGAAAGACTCTCCCACTCAATGTCTTTCCTGCGGGGTACCTCTTACAGTGAACCATATCCTAACCGAATGTTATGCATTCCAATCTTCTAGGGATCAACATCTTCTCAGAAATAGCCTTGAAGAATCACTCCAGAAGGACCCCAATGCTATTAAAAACTTAATATTGTTCCTTAAGGAAATCAAAATATTTAAAAAAATTTAATCACTCCTTGTAATTGTAAATGTTAAGTTTTTTAATTTTGTATGTTCCTCTTTAAATTGTAAATATACCTGTTAATTTATCCTCTTTTAATCATAATTTTTAACTATAATGGTTTTTCAATTTTTCTTCTCGTAATTTTTAATATTTAAATTGTACTTCCTAACTTTTCTTCTTTTAATATTAATTCTGTTTTTTTAACCTGTATTTTTAGATTATCTTCCTGAAATCATTAACCTTTTATTTAAATGTCCTTGTTAACTGTTAACTTATCTTTCTCTAATATTTAATGTTTAATTCTAATGGTTCTTGTACTTTCTAATGTTTAAACTGTATTCTTTAACTTCGCCTCTATTAGTATTAATTTTTATTATTTAAAAATGTATTTTTTAGCTTTTATTCTTAATATCATTAATCTTTATTGTCTCTGTTATCTCATCTTCGATTACATCTTTAAGTTTCAATTTTTATAATTTTAGTTCAATTGTACTATCATAATCATCTGTAATTATTCTTAACTTTTCAAACTTTAAATTGTATTTCTTAGCTATAGTTGAGTTATGTGTGTAGTAATTCATCAAATTGTAATATAGGGCGAAAATGACCCAAGTGGTTGAAGAGCCCAAAACATGTATAAATAAATAAATAAATAAACCTAACCCCTTCGATCCTACCTCTCTAACCGCTCCTTTTGAGTACGCTGAGGAACGGCATTTTCCGATATTTATCCAATTAAAGACGGTGTTCTCCAGAGCAGCGTCTTGGGTTCTGTGCCTTAAATCCTCTTTACCGCTGACATCCCTGAGCTCATTTCGTTACCTTCCTTGCAACATTTGCTGATGACACCGCAATCCTATCAACTACCTCTGATCCCGAAATAGTATCCTAAAATCTATAAAGGCAGCTCTCTCTTATTGAACACTGAATTAAACCTACCCTAAATAAACCGGCTGATAGATTTTTAAGTTAGATATATTATTGTATTCATTAAGATCCCATAAGTGTTTAGAAAGCGAGACGACACGAGGATCATTTGTACGGGGTGTCTGCAAAAAATATGTAACGATTTTATGAGCGAGTGGTTAAATTGATTTGTAAGTTAGGAATCTTAAATTATTCGTTCGGCCCCGAGAGTGTTTTAGAACAATTTGAGTTAAAAAAACCACCGAACCGCTATTGAATAAAATGTGTCTAATCGATTTGTTAAGAGATGTGTAAAGATTTTTCTGGCGTATGGTTTGAGCAATTTTTATGTTCGATATCTTAAATTATTCAGTCAGATCCCTTAAGCTTTCTATCTCAAAGTTCTGGCAAATCACTCTATAACGTGTGTTTAATTTATCCTCTAAAAGATACGTAATGGTTTTTTAGGCGATAAGTTAAATCCCGTAAATGTTTTAAAACAATTCAAGCGCAAAATACTAAAAAAAAAAATAGTATGGTACCTTGATTTATATATTGATTTGAAATTGTATCATGGGATCATATGTTATGAAAATTAATTGTTAATATTTTAAAAACTTAATTATTGAGAACTGTTACAATCTGTCACAATTAAGGACATTTATAATAGTGTTCAGGGAGCACACTCACACTCTATTTACAATAATATAAAAAAAAATTAATTAAACAAAGCGAATACAGAAATTGGGAAATTCTATTTATACTTCGGGAATATACTTCCACATCTACTTGGAATAATTAAACTTGGTGTATGTAGACAGATTCCTATTACGACCCCATCGAAACTCAATATTTTCGGATGTTGATATCCACCGATACATGGGACGGAATCTATTGGCCTGGAAACGTAATGTGTAGTGATAGGCACCCGACTATTAAACTAAGTTTAAATACTCGTAATTGTCAATTTCTATATCAATCTACCAAGATGTTTAAGTAGATATGGAAATATATTCCCTGACTGTTAATAGAATTTCCCGATTTCTGTAATCGGTATTTTTTTAATTCAAATATTTTTTTAGTAAATTCGATTGATCTCCTAATCAGTACTTCATAAATTGATTATTGACAATGATCTATTGTCTATTAAATCAAATTGACCATATGTTGAACATTTAATTCAACAACATTTAACACAAGCAGGTTACTTTACAATTATGGCAGTCTAAATTAATGAAGTGAAAAGCTGGGAGCAAAGTCTAGAAGTTTCAAAACTCCGCCATGACGGTGACATAGATTTAAAAACGCTCTGCAGAGCATGCAGAGTGCAAGCAGTCTTTTAAAAAGCAAGTATGTATATAATATTGTAAAGTTGTACTAATCTATTATACTATTAATTCTGGAAAGTTCATGTACTTGATATAATCTACTGGTATCGTATTTCAAATTCATTGACAATTGCAAAGCACCACTAACTTGGTAAATACTTTTGCAATGATTGGCACATAAATGCACTAGCAGAGCCAGGGTTTCATTTTGGGGGCGTTCTTCTCGAAAGATTTTTTTTTTAAACATAACTATAATCAATTTGGAAGAAAAAGAAGTGGTGTTTAAGTGATTCTTGAAGTCCTATTGTAATTACACGGACAATAATACTTTGAGATATTATTTTTTTCATAAGACATGGTAATATTTTTCCATTTTGGAGTGCTTCAGCCTTCCAAGTGAAATTTCAATTACAAAAGCTAATCTCCCGCAAATCTCCTGAATATGATTCCCTTACCCCTCAGATCCTTCGACAAATCATTTCATATTCCTTACATTTATCTACAATTGCATCTTAAGTACCACCCACTTTCCTCTATTATAGAAACACATCAAGCATTTCCCGATATCTATCCAGATGAAGCCGGTGTCCCCCAAGGCAACGTCTTGGGTTCTGTGCCTTACAACCTCTTTACCGCAAACATCCCTGTGCTCATTTCGATACCTTCCTTGTAACATTTGTTGATGACATTGCAATCCTATCATCCAACTCTGATCCCGAAATAGTAACCTTAAATCTATTAAGGCACCTCTCCCTGATTGAACACTGGTGCATTGTGTCTTTATCAATGAAACTAATTAATTGCCTTTCTATGCCTTGATTTTAAACAGTTCGAGAAAAGAAAGCATTAGTTAATCTTCACTCCCCTTAGCAAGTTATTATTAGTACCAAATTCATTGGTCTCCAAAAACTCGACTCCCCCTCCAAAAACTACCTCTTAATCAGCTTCTGAGTAAAATAGCATGTCCAATCTAAAATTACCAATAACTACTTGACTTAAGAGGAGATGTTTCATACATTACATTTGTTATGTAAAATCATTATCATTAATTTTAACTTAAAGTTGAAAAAAATAGATAAAGAATAGAGTTCAAGACCACAAAATTTAGTCCGGGTTTAGGCCCTCTTTTTATCAAATTAATAACAAGCATCTAAAACCTCGTGAATGGCTTATCTTATCGTGACCTATAACTTTTTTATTTACGAAAATTCTAGAAATAGGCCGTTTTTAATCTGGAGATCGGTAAACTTTGTCTAGTTCATTAGATCACAAAAAAGAAGAAAAAAAATATGGTGCACGCAACACACAACTTTCACTTACCACTTTGAACAGAAATTATTTTTTGGCAATGTTAGCTATTATAAAATTTTTGAAGTGCATTTTTAACGGAGCTACAGCTTAAAGCTTATTGCTAACAAATCATTAACTATACAAAAAAAACCTTATTAATTATATAAACGGTAGGCAATAAAAACCTCGCTACCCCATCTGTTTTTGTAAACCACATAACTCCAGTTTCTGAGCTATTGTCATTGTCATTGTCTTGATTAGGTGGATTTTAAATATTTTTTAAAAGTTTACATTTAGTTAGCGAATTTCCTCGAAAACACCTGATTTTCGGTAAATAATATTAGTTTTAACAAATTATCATTTATAATTATTCTTCACTCTTCATTACCTACTACGACTTTCTATATTAGGTATTGTTTTTCTAAAACTCACCGCTTTGCAACGATATATTATACGTGTATCTGGACTATTAATTCTGAATATTCATTTTCGACCTGGAAAAGCAGTTTTATTTTATTTTTTTCATTTATTAAATAATCAAATTCTTTCAAAATTTATATTTAGCATTTTTTCATAACTGCTAACATGGAGAGATACCTAATTATTTAAAATAAACCAAATTAAAGATACTATGGAGGAAGACATGCTGAACATTGGGCATTTAAGTCCTGTAAAGTGTCATCAATAAGACCTAAATGATATTAAAGATCACTTAATTATACAATGATACACTGAGTTTAATCAAACCTTAAATATGCAAATTTACTTTTCCGGGACTTGGTTATTTGGATTCAAAAGATCCCAAAATGTGTATTTCCATTGAAACTCAGATTCGACAATTTTTAGATAGGTAAGTGAAAGTAAAAATGTGGCCAACAAAAATCTAAAACGTGTCAAAATAACGAAGTTATATATGTAAGTCAAAAGTCCGAATATTTTTGTAGACTATCTTTTTTCATGATAGTTTGATCAAATTTTCATATAATTTAAGAGGAAAACAAATGCCTATTCTTCAGTTTTTAGCACCTTAGGAAAGTAACTATTTAACGAGAAAACGCCCTATTACTGACTATTTTTGTGGATAGAAAAGTTCTTGGTTATGATAAGATGAAGCTATACATGAAGTTTTAAATGGATATTTATAAATTGGTAAAAAAAAAAAAAAAAAAAAAAAAAAAAAAAAAAAAAAAAAAAAAAAAAAGAGTCTGTACCGCGGACTATTTCAATAAATATCCAAAACATAATTTATTAAATCTATTGAATAATGATGGGACATAGTTTCAAAGCTCTAAGATTGATTGGACACAGATTACGTGAAATATCGATTTTTCCCAGTTTCCTTGATGATAAATTGTGAGTTCTAAATTACTTTGATGGCTCTATATCTGAGAATTAATAGAGTAACAATAGCTTTCGAGGCAAACCTAACTACTTCTTATCTAATAGATATGCTACTAAAGAAAAGATCAATATTTTGTATTAGGGTCATCCTTTCTTTAATAGGTAAATAGATATTTGTATTGATGTTAAGCTCTTCAAATTACAGCAATGGGTAGAATTCGCCTTATATGTCACATATTCCTTACAATAATTATACTTAAAGTAACAGAAAAAGCGAAAAATAAAAACATTCTTTATTAGTTTTAACTATATTGTTCTTCTTTCCATAAAATATAAAAACAAAAATTACACTTCAACAAACTTTACATAAAATAAATTGCGATACGAAGATGTGATATCAGACTGATCTTCCTGATATGAGTGCGTATCTTTCAATGCCAAGTTATATTAAGCATTTTTTCATAACTGCTAACATGGAGAGATACCTAATTATTTAAAATAAACCAAATTAAACATACTATGGAGGAAGACATGTTGAACATTGGGCATTTAAGTCCTGTAAAGTGTCATCAATAGGGAGGGATAAGACCTAAATGATATTAAAGATCACTTAATTATACAATGATACACCGAGTTTAATCAAACCTTAAATATGCAAATTTACTTTTGCGAGACTTGGTTATTTGGACTCAAAGGATCCCAAAATGTGTATTTCCATTGAAACTCATATTCGACAATTTTTAAATAGGTAAGTGAAAGTAAAAATGTGGCCAACAAAAATCTAAAACGTGTCAAAATAACGAAGTTATATTTGCAGGTCAAAAGTCCGAATATTTTCGTAGACTATCTTTTTTCATGATAGTTTGATCAAATTGTCATACAATTCAAGAGGAAAACAAATGCCTATTCCTCAGTTTTTAGCACCTCAGGAAAGTAACTATTTAACGAGAAAACGCCCTATTTCTCTCTTTCCACTTTGTAAGAGCTAAGTTTCCTGTAGACTTAAAAAGCTCTTGATTGCTGCATCAACATCTTTAAAAAACATATGATTATAATATATTTCTATGATGTATTTTATTTGCTACTTGTTCATTACTGTCTGGTCCTTGCACGTATCCTCACATCCCAAGGTGTAGAGATGAGCCCAGTTAAATGGATTATATACCTTTCTTTGATATAAAATTAGTTATGTCAGTGAATTAATAGCCTTAAAATAATTAAATAATAATACTCAAACGAAGTTTATTTAAGATCAGAACATTGTGTGTGCGAGAGAAAGATTTTTAAAAAATGATAGAAATATTTCATATGAAACTAACCTTCATAAGTTAATAACGTGGCTAAACGGATGTATATTCCAGGTTTCCCAGTGTAGCATTAAACAAAAGATGGATAATCTACTGTCCGTTCGACTTCAAGAGTTTCGTGGGATACAACGAGGTGAGTAACCATTTATAAGATCAATTATTTCATTTTGATTAAATACAAGTGTGTCCTCAAGGTCACAAAAGAGCCTTGAATTAAAGTCTAATTAGAACGTTAAAATTGTAGAAAACTTATTATTTTTTTTAATGTCCCCATTCGAAAATCCGACAACTTTCGAGAGTTTCACTATCAAGTTCAAAAGTGAATAGCGGAACACATTAAGAATAAGACATGAGTCACGGTCTCTTGCTACGTAATGTTTCTGTGTTACATGAAAATGCCCTAATGAACGCCCACTACCCATTCATTCTGTCAGTTGCAGCTTTTGGAAAAAAGAAATTTTGATGGGCGTAAGCAGCTTGATTTTGAAGAATATGAATAAGCGTGACATAAATATAGTTCTGTGTTGTAATTAACTTATCCAAGAATCAAACTGTTAAAAAATTAGTTTCTATTAAATCAAGATATAACTGAAGACGTGATTGTGGAGGAAGTCGCAGAGCGCTCTGTTCTAAAAGTTTTGTGTTCAATTTTCATCTGAATCAGCTTATGGTCAGTTAACACTGGGAGTCTCCGAGAAATTAACCTTGAAGGTGTTAGGAAAAAAAAATTAAACAAAATAAAGTAAATATTTCTTCCATTCTATGGCCCCTGACGTCTCTCTGGCAGTCACATAGACACGGAAGTATTTTTTTTTTTCATTTCATTGGTTCCCTTCTCTTCTCTGGTTAATTCTGGAGAGATAAAATCCAGACCTTATGCCTGTCCTGAACTAAACAGCGGATGCTGGTCATTCGGATTCATTTCATTTACTCTTTTAGATTAGATTATATTTGTATGATACATATATGGATATACAAATTAAATTCCTTTGCTTGTCTCTCGGTGGCTTTGCACCAAGCATTAAACATTAAATTAATTTTATTGTTTTCCATTGTTTTCAATGATAAGAAACAGAAATTTGTGGACATTTACCTGATATATGGAAACAAATTAAAACTCCCTTAATCCGAACAACAATTTTCGTTACTGTGAAGAGTGGAGTAGGTGTAAAACACACTTTTTTCTGAGATAACATAGAAAAAAGATGATTAAATTAGAAACGTCTATAAGATGAAAATCAGCGTAAAATTGTTCTGACTTCTGTCCCATGTATATCTAATATTCAACTAGAAAAAAAAGAAAAAAAATAGAACTTGTTCCACTACAACCCATGAAGGGTCTTTCTTTGGGTTCAGTACTATTTAGGGAAAGCACTGTTTCTAGGTCAACGGTTGTGCAATGAGGCGATTTGACCGAGATCACGCTCAACCGCCAGGTTTTCTCCCTTAATTAATTATTTAATTAAGGGTACCCACTTTATAGAGGCTGGGTGTGCCCCAGGAGGGTCTCCCGACCCAGGGTCGCCCCACGTCCAATGAAACCGGTAAAATAAATTTTCTGCCATGAGTCGGGGTTCGAACCTAGGACCTTAAGCATTGGAAACCCAGAACCCTACTACTGAGATACCTCACTCCCCTTTTCAACCAGAAACTAAAATCAAATACATTCCTGCTATAATTTCTTCTTCTAAATCTTATTTTTAAATGAATTATAATTAGTCCTATATAAGATACATTGCTATTCTATTTCAAATTTATACATTTTGTTAATAGTACAATTCTTATCTATTTTTAAAAATATTAATATATCATACTAAAGATGCATGTACCCAACTCCTGGGTGTAGTTCATACAATTCCCAGTGTCCTCTTCAGAGAGGCAATTCAGCGTGATACTCGTAAAATTTGTGTGCCAATTTGACATTTTTTTGCGAGCCAAACTTTTCCTGATAAATCCGTCACGCCCCCAGCTGTTACCGTCGATCAACCAAGAGGTCACTTTGCAAATAGTACTAGTCCATTACCAGGCTCGACGAGGAGGGGGGTCAACAGGAAGGTTTTGTTTTTTAACTTCTAAATTAACATCAATCGTAAATAACATTACATGGAACTTTTAAACCATGGAAATTTACCTCTTTGCTGAGGAGGAAGTTCCTCGGTTGGTGAATGAAGAATGCTTTCCTTGGTTCAAAAAAATAATTTATGGATGGAGGAAGCGGTGGGTTCAGCCCACTCCAACATTGGGATCCGAAGAAGATAAAGCTGAGAAGGCCGGAACTCAGAATAAGCCACCGTACTTTGCAGAAGAAAAATAATATGTACGGCGTATATTCCACTTCACCAACACCTGTATAAGAAAGGGGAAGGTGGAAGATAAGACAATAAAAAATATCGTTTCATAGTATTTTTGTTGTATAAATTATAAAAAGCTTCAGTTGACTTTTAGTGCTAAATTAAATATTTGAGGAGGGCCTGGAAAATTAACTCTTTAGTTTCCTTTCACGGCCCTTTCCATTCCAGGTTCTTTACACTGCTGTAACCGGAGGCTAACTTCACAGATGTTGTATGTCAAAATTTTACAGTTAACGTACAATTATTTATAAAAGTTGACTGCATCCTGTCATTGGTTTTTATTTCTTTTTTTTTCTGGTTGTTTGTATATTGATTTATTTATATGTATCTTTTATGTTCACTTAAAACATTGTTTGTTTATAGATTTCACATTCTTCAACAGAATAAATTTTTACAACATTTGTGAAGTTTTAAACCATCTTTAATATACTACAGAACAAATGATTTATCTACAGTTTACGTCATTCTCATCAAACTAATTTTTCTATAAGGGCTTCCTACCTTGCCAATAGATCGAAGCGTACCTGACCGCTTTGGGAGCTCGGGTGATCGGCTGCACCAAGGAGCAGCGGAAGATCCAGAGCCTGAGGATCGGGGATGGACCGGTCTGTGTCCTCGAGGCCGGCGTCCACGCCCGGGAGTGGGCCTCCCCTATGGCCGCTCTCTACGTCGTCGACAAGTTGGTCAATAAACCCATCCCAGGGCTCACCTGGATTATAGTGCCACTCCTCAACCCTGACGGCTATGAGTACTCCAGGAAGAGCATGTCTACGGTAACATTCTACTTCCAATAATTTAATTTCTTTACATGATTAGTTTAACTTACATACTTACTCCCTGGCTCTACAGATCTTTAGACCCTTGGCCTTCCGGACTATATTCTTCCATCTGTCGCGGTCCTTGGTAGCGTTCCTCCAATTCACGATATCCAGCTTTGCAGCATCTCTTGCTACGACCAGCGACTCCTTGGTCTGCCTCTTTTTCTCTTTTTTTTCAACGACAGCATCTTCTTCTGACGCCTCTTTTTGTTTAATCTAGCAACATGACCTGCCCGTCGCAGCCTTCCTGATTTTTATATAATTAACTAAAACGGGATTTTTCAGTATGGCTGCAATTTCTGTATTAATCTTGATTTTTCACTTTTCGTAATTTTTTACAGCACCGTTTTTGACAGTCTGTCGATGATAGGCACTAGATTTCCAACCCGTAGGTCTCAACCGGCTTGATTAACTTTAGTTTGTTCCTTCTTGAGAGTATTTTTTATTTGAAAAGTTGAAGGTTCGCATAATAAGGCCTATTTTCGGCCATTATTCTGCTTTGTATTTTTCATGGCTAATCTTGTTTTCTTAGTTATCGTAGAACCTAAGTAAGTGAAGCTGGACACGCTTTCAAATGCTTAATTGAGTAAAGAGATGCTGTTGTTTCTTTGTTTCCTTTGATCATTTGAGGCTTTTAATAGCTTATGTTTTATTTTTTCTTGATTTAGGATGAGATCAGCCCTGCTACCTCTTTTTAAAATCATTTGAAATGTTTAGTTTAATAATGAGGATTAACGAAAAAAAATCTTGTAAAATTCGCTGGCCCATCATGAAAACTTTAACACATGAAAAGAAGCTTATCACATACAAATTGTAATATCCTAAGATTGAATTAGGGACTCTCTTAGAGGTAGCTCCTACGCAATTTCGTCACAAAGACTTTTATACAAATGTTAATTTAAATTAATTGTTTATACTTACAAGAGGAGGCTATAGTCAGTGGATCACCGATTTCAACCAAATTTATTTTTTTTAGTGATAGTTCATCAAACACCACATATACCCGGTTTTCGTTCTAATGGGCCATAGGAGCCGAGAAAAAAAAATTATATAACTTCAAACAAAATTTATGTTATTTATTTTAGCCTTCGCTTTGCCCGGATTATTAGGGTTATATAATAGAGTGTATAAAAAAAAATGACTGTTTTATCAAATTCAAGATTTCAAAGGACTGTAAATATTTTAATCATATTTAATACTTACCAATACTTAATGATTCCTTTAAAGCATTCTCTAAGCTCTCTAAGCTCTAATCCCATTCGATTTCTTCAAAAAATAGCCTTAGTTTAGTTTTAAAGAAGAAACATGAGAATTACGAAATTCTCGTAATTTTAAGGCCTTACTGGAAAAAAATTTCACAGCGGCTGAAGCAAGTCGTATATTTATTAAATATGAAGGTGAAACTGTCCTTTCACATAGTGTATAATACCAGCGCACTGAGCAGTATTGGTTTGAAAAATTTATCAGTGGAGATACGGCGTTGGAAAGGAAGAACGGCCCCGGGCAACCATTATTGGTTATTGAAGAGGTTCTGCAGGAAGCTGTCAAATCCGTTTACGAGTACTCGCGAACTTGCCAGGAAGTGTTGTGTTCGAAAGATAATGTAGGTCGCCATCTTCTCTCCAAGGAGAAGCTGAAAAATAGCAGCTATATATATATATATATATATATATATATATATATATATATATATATATATATATATATATATATATATGTATATGTATATATATATATATATATTTTTTTTTTTTTTTTTTTCCTCGGCTCCTAGGGTCTATTAGAACGAGCCCTGAGAAATGTGTTAAATATATTTCGATGTAGTATGACCAAAAAAAAAATTGGTTATAATCGGTGTCCCACTGACTGTAGTTTCCTCCTATTAGTTTGAAAGACAGTATTTTAATCCAGGAAATGTTTTATATTGGCAATTAAAATATCATTTAATACATTTATTATTTTTGGCACTCGTTACTAGACAAACAGAAATCAGGAAAATTACAAAAATAAATAAAATAATAAATAATGAGATTATTTATTAATTATTGATGAACTTAAGTGAAATATTGATAAATCACTTAGCTGGAATTATATATCTACAAAAGAATTAAGAACAAATCTCTTAATATGTCCAAGTCTCTTTCATACCCGCTGTTATTTGCAATTTTACTGCTTTCTTCTGTCTTCTAAAGTTATCTCAGCTATTCAGTAGAATCTCGAAGTTTGGATTTATTTCGTACATATTTATAGACAATACCATAGCATTCCATATGTGTTATTAATTACTTTTTGGTCTTTTGAATAAATACTGCTGTTTCTGCAATCTCCATTCGCCTTAGAAAGGTGAAAAGCCAGAAACGTAGCAATATGTCGTCTCCTGATGTTTTAAATGAGAAACAATCTATAGTTTAATTTTTACTGCGATAATATTTACTTATAAATCTTGAAAAATGGTTTCCTTAAGCCAGTTAAAATGAATTTATGACATCTATGAACTTAAAATTATTTTCAGAGGTTTTGGAAAAAAAATATGAACAACACAAAAAGCCGATGGTGCCAGGGAGTAGACATCAATAGGAATTTCAGAATCGGCTGGGGAGGTAAGTTCTTGCCAAGTTATTGCAATCATGTGCAATTAAAGTAATAAGGCCCACATTATATGTCTGAATAAAGTTCTATATATAGTTGTGACTATTCTTTGTTAACTTCCTTGGCCACGAGCTGACTCTAGATGGATGATATCAGTTTATCAAAAATATCAATTTCTCGGAAATTTACTATATATGAAAAGCTTGAGTGCTATAAAGAGTATCTTAATGTTTAAGAAAGAGTTGACTAGATAAAAAAGTTGTTTTTATGCCAACTTTTGGCCTAATTTTTAGTCCTTCATCGGGGTTCTCCTACTGAGGTTATAAGTAGAATCAAAAAGAAGAAAAAGTTTCGTTTCGTTTGGCAAATAGTTCCATTTTATTCGCCTTTACTTCCGTTATACCCATTCCGTTTCCTTTCCTTGTCCTCTTACCACTAGAATTTCATTCATTATTTCCTACTTCAAATTGGTTTTCATTACAATACATTACTACCAGAGATGGTCAAAATCTGAATCAATGATTACATGAGTAAAACTGAAAATAAAACTTAATGACCACGCAAATTGTGTAACTTGATACACTGGCGCTATAAATAGCGCAAAATTGTGACACGATTACCAGATTACAATCGTAATCGGAAATCTGATTCCGATTGTAATCGTGTAATCAAGTAATAAAAATCACTGTAATCGTAATCACTTCAGAATTACTGTAATCGTAATCGTTGGTTATGATTTTGACATCTATGATTATTACTAACGGTGAGAACTATGATTACTACCAACAATGAGAGATCTTTAATTATTTCTAATAAACAAACTAAATAAAATGGAAAAATATTTTTAATCTGCGACCACAGTAGAATTTGGTGAAAACAAAGGATGTTACAAGGAGCTGTCTGGTTTTTAGAACAATCACGTAATCAAATAGAAAGAGTTTAAGGATAGTTACGGATGTTCGAGTATCTGGGAAATATGGTTATTCCAAGATAGGTTCTGGTCAAAAGTTATTCCTAAGATTTTCACTTTAGGGAAAAAATGGATGGAGTGTTTATTGAATTAAAGCAGAGGAGGGTAGTAAGGTTGGAAACTAATGAGATTAAAGGTATTTTAGAGGTAGCAATTTTGAAAATTCAATATTCAAGACTTGTCAGATTATTTAAATGAGGTTAATACCCATAGGCGCAGACTACGGGAGTGATGCCCCTGATTTCCGTTCAAAGCAGATCCTATTATTAGGGAAATTCAATAAATATGAAGGAAAAAGGTTTACATTCTTACGTTAACAATTAACTATATTAACAGCTGGGTAAGTAGATGCTACCAGATTGAAAGTTATCGGCTCCTCCTCTCATCATCTATACCATGTATATTTATTTGTATTAATACGTATCACAGGCAAATTTACGGGGGGAGGACTTCCGGGCTGAAGCCCCCTCACAAAACGGAAAAATATAACCATGTTTTATATAAAAAAATATTAAAAACTATCTCTTAAAGTATTCTTGTTCGTGTAATTACATTAAATAGGACTTCAAGAATCACTTAAAACACCATTTCATAGAGGTAGTTCATTTCTTTCTGTTTTTTATTCAAATTAATTATCGTTAGATATATAAAAAAAAATCTTTCGGGCTGAAGCCCCTCCTCCAAAATTAAATCCTGGATCCGCTAGTGATACATATATCACCATAGCTGAATTATTTTAATTTACAGCTTGAGTGGCACAGACTAATGAGCTTTATGTTTCAGCCAAACTGGTACCGAGGTGTTTAGGCTTAATTTATGTGTGAAGTTGTTTAATAAGTCTATTTACTTTAAGAGAAAGAGAATTACTTGGCATTTATTAAATATTCAAAGTAAACAGAGTGTGGCAAACAGAATCAGTCGGTGTGGTGAAAGTTTGTAAATTAGAGGCAAAGTTCAAAGAGAGGGTAATTCTAACCTTTAGACACTATAAAAAAATTCTCAAGCTGTAAATTAAAATAATAAAGTAATGCAGCTATGATAATATACGTATTGATTCAAATAAATATACATGGTATAGATGATGAGAGGAGGAGCCGATAACGTTCAATCTGGTAGCATCTACTTACCTAGCTATTAATATAGTTAATTGTTAAAGTAACAATGTAAATATTTTTTCTTCCATATTTATTGAATTTCCCTAATAATAGAATCTATTATATTCTTAACATATAAATCAAAATAAATGTTTTAAATTCATTTATTAACTCAACTCACAACTTGCTTACATACTAACTAATAATAATCATATGTTCTTTTAAAACCATATGGTTTAAACAATTAAACTGCAACAGAAAATATGAACTAATTTACTTTTCACTAAAACACCAAAAATATTAAATTTAGAATATGCTACATCCCCCTTTTAAAAAAAATAAAAATGTTATCGTCTTGCGTTGATCCGTCTATCACGTAGTTGCTCAGCATGTCTTTTCAGCGTTTTTCCTTCAACGTCGACAAAATAGGTCGATCTACCTATACATTCTTTGACGACTCCTTCCACGTACGATACGACTCCTTCCGGTTGTAGGATATTTCATCACCCACACAGGCTGACCAACATCGAAACTTTTCCAACGAGACTTTCTGTCATTTATCTTTCTTTTGAGTTCGTTGCGCGACTTCCAGATCTCGAGATAGGTCTGGTTTCATCAAACTGAACGAGTTCGTAATTGGCGCGTAAAAAGAATTTCCGCTGGGGTTCTATTTGTAGTTTTGTTTGGAGTTGTTCTGTAATGAAAAAGGAATCTCGTTAAACGTTCGTGTATGTCTATTTTATCACTCTTTGAAGCCGAAAAGCGCCTTTTAAATGTATGTACATAACGTTCCGCCAATCCATTAGATTTGGGGTGATAAGAAGCTGTCGTAATATGTTTTATATTATTTGAAATACAAACATTTTTGAAAGGCTCTGAAGTGAATTGAAGCCCATTATCGGACACTAAGACTTTCGGTAAGCCAAATCTTGAAAAGATTTCCCTTAATAGCCGAATCGTTTCTTTGGAAGTGATACCATTTACTGGAATTACTTCTAACCACTTTGAGGTCGCGTCCACAAGCACAAACTAATATTTATTTTCATATGACCCAGCATAATCTATATGCACTCTAGACCAGACTTCATTTGGGATAGTCCATGAACAAAGTGGTAGGTCCGGATCGGCTGAACGATTTTCTTTACAGCTTCGGCATTTCTGAACATATTCATCTATGTCGGAGTCAATTCGCGGCCACCATTCGTGAAAACGAGCAAAAGATCTCATGGCTGAAATTCCAGGGTGTCCTTGGTGCAACATTTGCAAACACGATTTCCTTAGTGTTGACGGAATTATAATTCGTCCTTTCCATAGCAACGTTTTATCCTCGAAGGACAATTCTTCTCTTTTGTCATAGTATGGAAAAAAGTCCTTCGTTATATTTTTTCGATCAGGCCACCCTCTTTCGATGAAACCTAATACCTTCAGCAAAACAGAATCTTTGTAGATTTCTTGTCCTATGATAGTCTTAGTTAATAGTAATGCTTCTCTTCGAATGTGTAACACTTGTTTCCCGAAGTCCTCCGGTCTGTCGCTTTCAATGTTCAACAGTAAGCGTGACAACATGTCTGCTGCCGAATTGTCTACTCCTTTAATATAATCGATAGGGTAGTTCTATGCAACAACAGTGTAAGAGCCCAACGAGTCACTCTATCAGCTGTCATTTTCGGAAGTTCTGCATGCTCTCCAAATAACCGAACGAGTGGTTTATGGTACGTTTTAAGAATGAAATAGTTGCCGAATAAATATTGATGGAATTTGGATACTGCAAACACTAACCCGAGTGCTTCTCGATCGATTACTGAATAGTGTTTTTCCGATTTAGAAAGTTTTCTTGATGCATATGCAATGGGCTTTTCAGAACCATATGGAAATCTGTGGCTTAGAACTGCACCTAATCCGTTTTCGCTCGCATCTGACGATACTACTAAAGGTAAGTCTGGGTTGTAATGTAAAAGTTTTGCCGATGAAGTTAGCGTGTCCTTTAAAGAAGTATATACTGTTTCTTCACTATCTGTGAACACTCCATTTTACTCCTTTTCTTAACAATCTGTGTAACAGAGTACATGTTCCTTGGAGATTTGGTACGAATCTTTGATAATAATTAATAGAGCCGAGGAATGAACGCAGTTCTTTGACATTAGATGGCGAGGGCATTGATTTTATTGCTGCTATATGTTCGTTTGTCGGGTGAATGCCGTACTTATCTATCCTATGGCCAAGATAAACGACCAATTGTTGAAGAAATTTGCATTTTTCCATGTTTAATTTCATACCTGCCGTAGACAGTCTCTCCAAAACTGCCTCGAGACGTTTGAGATGTTCTTCTTCATCTTTCCCGCTAATAATTAGATCGTCTAGGAAACATCCTACTCCTTCTAGTCCTGTCATCTTTTGGTCCATTATTTGTTGCAATTTTTCCGGTGCGAAATTTACTCCAAATGTTAGCCTTTTATATTTAAAATAACCTAAGTGTGTTGAAATTATAAAATACTTTTGTGAACTTTCATCTATTGGTATCGTAAATAGGCATCGCGCATATCAAGAACCGAGAAAACCGTACCTCCTTGAAGCGTGGCTATAATATCTTCGAAACGCGGCATTGGGTGTAGATAACTTGAGATGTAAGGGTTTATTGTTACCTTAAACTCGGCGCAAATCCGAATTTTACCTGTTGGTTTGATGACGATTACAATAGGTGACGCCCACTGAATAGCTTCGACATTCGTATCAATTGGTTCAAGAACCTCTTGATCTACCAAACGGTGAATCTCCTCTTCAACACTTCCAAGAAGAGCAAACGGGACTGGTCTAGGTTTAAATAATTTCGGTTGAGCATCATCTTTCAAGTGAACAACTGCTTTATAGTTTTTTATTTTGCCTAAGCCCGGTGAGAAAATGCTTTTACATTTGGATAACAACTTATCCATTATACCATTAAATTTCT